TCTTTTAATAACAGTTTAATAATGCAACTATTTCCCGCTAATTAGTTTATTTTAGAGAAAAAGAAAATGAAATTTTCGTTTAGATCGCTTGCGGGATTAAAATTTTAAGAGAAATAGAAGCAGAGAATAAGGTGTTTTTTTTATGTGATTATGTTACTATCAACGATTTAATTGTGATCACAACCACATTTTCGGTCACGTTGATTTAATCGCAATTATAGAAATAACAGATGATATTTTGGTCATTTCGATTATATTAGTCAATGGATTTTTTTAAATGAGTTGATTTTTTAATAAAAAAATTAAAATAGTGGAATAGCAGTCCGCTATTGTTGTGATTAGTCACTATCTATTAAATTGCGGTCACGATCCACCGTTATTGATGTGATCCCGCTTCACGTCGCTATTTTTCACTATAGTGATTTCAGATGTCGTTTCAACTGTGATATAACCGCTGCTATTTTGTTATCCGATTGCAATTTGAATCCTTGATTACAATCTGTCTCTCAACAAGAAAGGAACAAAATCTGAACTCGTTAACAAAAACCACAATGTTTGTGGTTTTTGTTATATTAAGTTCGATAACATAAACCAATGATCCACCGGCGCTGCCCAAATAAACTATTTATGTTATTTATTGCAGCCTCCCAATTCCAATGCTTTTTTTTTCTGGAACTAAAAAAGATAATGAATTATGCATAACATTAATCATCCAAATAAAATAAATCTCAATAAACATATTTGACAAAATAAAAAGGTCTTTGTTTTTATTTTTTTATAATTATTTTAAACTTTTAAAAAGTTTTTTTAGAATTTTTATGTTTTTTTTTAGATTTTTATTTAAATTTTTAGAATCATGATCAAACCGATAGAATTTGTAAATATGAAAGATTAAATTTGTTGACTTATTTTCATTGGGATCAATTTTTTAAATGTTGAAGGTTAAATATGTTATTATACCAATCATCATCCATTGATGACTGAAACAAACAAGAAACATTGACTAACAATGTAGTTTACCCTTAAAATTTTTACTGGAAGGTTCATCCATTTAATCCAATTGTCTTTTTAAGATCTAAGTTGGATGTTAACATAATGATTAAGATATAAAAAATTTGATTCTAAAATCTAAAAAAAAATATCATATCTTACTCAATAGGTTAACATCGAGATCAGAATATTGTCAATTTTTAACGGAAAATGATGAGTTTGGAACATACTAAATAGTGGAGTGACCATTTTATAACTTTTAATAGTCGGAAGAGTCAACAAAATAATATCTTATAGTTGAAGGATATTTTGTAACTTTTAATAGTCAAGGGACTCAACAAAGAATCACGTTATAGTTGAGGGACTATTTGTATATTTTACCTAAATTTTTACTGGTAAGTTCATCCATTTAATCCGATTGTCTTCTAAGTGAATGGTATTTTCCTGCGATTGCGATGGATTTATTTTGTTTTTGCGAAACATTTTCATGATGCGCTTTAAGTGGAATCTTGTGCGTCTTTAAAGCCGAGTAATTAAAGTGGCAAGCACAGTAGTACTTCATTTTTTTTGCTAGTATTAGCAATTTTGCATTTTGTTTAGGTTAGTTTGTGTTAGATATTGGTAATAACTGTAGTATTGGTTGCTGAAACAGATACAATGCGTGGAAGAGAATGCTGAGTTGATGCGAGGAAGATGCTTAAAGTTTTATAAAGGATGTCGAAAATATACGTAGGTCTACATTTTTGTTACTGTTTCAATCGTTTGCGCACACCCTTTCTAAAGAGGAAACACTTTTCATTTACTAGCAATCTGACATGGTCTATCCTTGAAAATACCAGAGAGGGGCTTCAAGAGGCGCATGCTGGTGACTTTGCTTTTGTGAGTGCCCTTGAAACTTTTGAAGGGGATCAAAATGATCCCACATGTGTTGCTTTTGGAGGTACACGTCCTACTTTTCTATACCCTTTCAGATTTTTTAGTGGATAATTAGATTTGAAAGGTCTGGAAATGCAATAAAATTCTCAACATATTAGTGTTATTAATGATGAAGTCCAGGCCCAGTCATGACACAGTTCACTGTTGCACTGAAAAAATTGCCTCATACAAGGAAGTTCTTCGCTCAGAGGTAGTGACTTTATGATATATTTTTTCTTAAAGTGTAAAAACTGTTCTTTGTTAAGATTTGTAGTTGTAGATCCAGTTTCATCTTGAGCAATTTCAGTGTAAATTATAAATAATTACAAACAAAAAGGATACTGCAGATTTTCTGCTACAGGCCATTCTCTAGAAATATGCCTGAGCTCTTCTGCTACAATAAGTTGTTTCATCCTCGCAAAGTAGTTTAAGAGAATGGGTGAAAGATTTTGAATTAATTTTCCCTCTTCTGACACTTGTATTTTACTTTTTTCAGATAGAACGCATGCTAAATGATAGGTTGCTTCAGTGTGTCAATGTTGATCTGCAAGAAATTAAGGTGCTCTTTATCATATGATATATGTTTAATGTAAGTTCCAGTCATCTTAATCAAGGGAGTTGTACGTTTTAGGGACATTAGCTTTATATTTTCTTAGTTATCACTAGTTTCGGCTCTGTAGTTAGAGTTTTTTCTTTGTTATGAAGCAAGAATATGATATCATTTAGAATTTCTCCGTTCTTCTGGATTTATTTTCACATGATTTAATGTAAAAATACTGGGAGAGATTAGTGCTAACTTCTATTTTAACAGAATGTATCTCTTTGTTGCTGTTGGAAAGGAGAAAGTCTCGGTGATGTTGGCTTCTCTCATATTTTCTGACCCATTGTTAAACCATTGTTTCAGGATGCCCGAAAACCTTTTGACAAGGCTTCACTTGCATATGATCAGGTGAATTTCAAATTTTCTTTTCACCTTCATCATGATTTCCAGTTCTACTGCATTAAGGATGCCTTTAATCTATAAGCATCATGATTGCTAATTTAATTTATTGATAAACAATCTGTAGAAAAAATTCAGAGATTTTGTTGCAAATAGAAAATACCATGTTACCAACCATATTCTGATAGGTTATTCGACATTCTAGAATCTCATTTCTAAACTTTCCTGATGTTGATTATTGATGATGCACTAAAAAACCAGATGTTAGGACAAGGGCCATGCGACATGTCTTATAGTTGATTCTAGATTCTTATACAGTGTGAAAATCTTTCCCAACAAAATGGTATTGTATTATCATAAAGGCCTCTGTTTGGTTGTTTCCTTTGCTACTTGCTAAAAAGGCATGTTTGTGTAATCAATAATTACAAATTAAAAAACAAAGGTTTAAAATAAAAGAATGGATGGATGTTTTCTAAGAAGTAATTACATTTGATTTCGGCATACAAGCACGGGAGAAGTTTATGTCTTTAAGGAAATGCACCAAGACTGATGTAGCTGCAGCCATAGAGGAGGTATATACAATATTACTTTTTTCTTGACCCAAAGACTTATCCTACAAGTGCAGAAACTGTTGAACATTTTGTCATGGTTAACCATTATCTTTCAAAATCTAATTTGGTAGAGAGACATTCCAGGAATTGCTTGCTGCTAAAACCTCATTTGAGCTAGCCCGCTTCAATCTGGTGAGGTGCTTTTGCCAACAAAGGAATTCATTTGTTTAATTGAAGCTGTAAATGTGCATGTTCTGCCACCTCCAGGTTAGTGCTCTATCCAAGTTTGAAGCCAAAAGGAGGTTTGAATTTGTGGAGGCTGTTAGTGGGATGATGGGTGCTCACCTACGATTCTTCAAACAGGTTTGGAACATTTAATATGTGTCGTAACCGTTTTTCGGCGGGACAATCGTTTAATTGTTTAAAAACAGTTACGACTTTTATTTTGGAAAATGGGTGATTTTGAATTAATTTGTTTAAATCGGATAGAGTCGCCATCAACCTTTGGGTTAGGTAGGTCGAATACCTAGAAATGTCTTTTTTTAAAAACAATTTTAAGAAAAATCGTTTTTTAAGACAAAAGTTTATATGCGTTTACCAAAGATTCGATTAAAACGGGTTCGGGAGTCGGTTACGCGTGGAGAAGGATTAGCACCCTTACTGCGCCCAAAATTGGTACTGTGTCATTTACATGTTGTCGTAATGATAGAAATCCAAGAATTTAAATACGAATTTAATTTATGATCCTATTATTCCAGATTCAATTGCATAATTGTAATTTAGGAAAATTCTAAGGAAAAAATAGAAAATATTCTAATATTTCCAATCGAAAGAAAAAATAATCTCTAAAATGCTTTAGGATGAATATTTCTCTTTCCGACTGAAATAATAAGAATATAATAATTTTTCCCAAGAAATAATTAAAATAATTTGATTTAACTAAACTATATATATTTGATTTTCAAGTTCTATAAATAGGGTATTTATTTATTTTAAAATATCAGAATATGACAGACATCTTTATACAAAAATTATATACATCTTTTATAACTATACATTATAACTTTTATATATATATTAATGTGTAAAAACATACCACATCCAACTTCAAAAATTTTAAAAAAAATTATACAAATTAAAATATTGACTAAATAACTTACTATTTTAAATACAAACCAGATAATAACTAAGGTCAAAATATCAGAATTATAATAAAAATGAAACTAAAACACAACACCATTATAAAGGACTAACATCGAAATAAACCCTAAACAAGAGCATGACTAAAAAATAACATTTAAAAAATGTAAAAGTTGAATGTCTAAATACAGCAAAAATTAAATATACTATTATTTAGGACTAAAATAGAAAATACGAAACTTAAAGATCAAAAACTTGAAATAATGTAAATAACAGACACTGGAGACCGAAATGGAATGCACCTAAAATTAAAAACCAAATTAAAAATTACAGAACTTCGAAGCGAGGACCGAATCACAACAATTTCAAATTAAAAGGAACCTTACGTGATTAAACCCCACACCCCTACTCTAGCCTTAAACACCGCCGTTTTATCCCAAATTAATTAAAACCTATCATTTAACCTAAAAACAAAATATCATTCATCCTAAACTTATTCCCAAAGCTCCGTTCTTCTCCACTTCTCTACCCCATTCCTTTCTTTTTCTTCCCACGACCGAGACCCAAAGCCGAACCAAACCAATAAGACCCGACGCGATTCCGATCTCCAAACGCCGACTACGACGACCGATGAGACTAAATCCCCCCTAAATCGACCTTAAATCTTCAAAGGATCTCTCCTACCTCTCGGTTTTCCAGTTTTCAGAGACTTGAACCGCCAACTACCCCCTAAGATCAACCAAACGAGACCCTAACCGATAACCTCCCTGTTGACTAGCTCCTAACCGGCGAGAAGAAAAGACAACTAAGGTAACTAAAACCCCTTCCCTCTCTTATATTCTGCTTTGTATGATTTAATCTGAAATTAAAGGAATAAATGAAGCCAAAAACGTAAAATAATGAAAGAAGAATGTTCACTGCTCTTTCTTTTCGTATTAATTTCTTGAAAATGGGAAGTGATTACAACAAATTTATTCCAGTCCCTTTCCCCGAAAATGTTCTCTGTATTCTCGAAATGTTTCTGATTTTCCTGTTCTAATAGCCTCCAGAACGTTTTTTTGTTCGAATCAGAACCCCCTGTTCGTGAGTTCTCCTCTTTTCTCCGTGATCCTTCTCTCCATTTTATGGTTGCATGTGTAGTGGATTTTCCACTAATGTTTATTTAATGGAGGATTAGGTTTGTTTATTTTAAGGCTTAGTGGTAGATAATGGTTGATTTGTGGATGGTGGACGTGTTGATGTTTATTTAGTGGTAGGGTATAGCAACCAATTTTCTGGTATTTGTTTTTGGTTTAGTGGATTTAATGGTTTAGGTAAAGTTTGAGTGGGGGTTGTTTGCAAGTGGGTGAGTGGAAAGGTGGAGCACGGGTAGTGTAAAAAAATGATGCTGACAATATGCTTCCACTTGTATCGTTTTAATATTTTCAACCTCTGGAGTCTGTATCCTTTCTTCTTTGCAGGGATATGAACTCTTACATAATATGAAACCCTTTGTTAACCAGGTTTGTGACCTTATTTCCCGAGGAAATACGTCTTTTTGTCTCAAGTTTTCTGCCCCTGAAACTTGTTTCTACTATCTTTGAATTTCCATATCTCTTAATCCGGAGGATTTCAGAAACTAGTATATGTGGGTTACAGGTCTTAGCTTATGCACAACAGTATAGGGAATGTTCAAATTATGAACTGGAATCTCTAAGTGAAAGGATGCAGGAACATATCAGGCAGATTGATCGAGAGAGTAAACAGTCCTTAAAGGGCTATACTGGTCCTACTGTTGCCGATGGTATGCAACCTATCACAAGGGGATCCCAAAAAGCTATTGAGGTGGTTATGCAATCTATAGCAAAGGGAAAGGTGATATCTCATCTTGAGATTCTTAATCTTGGTTTGAATTTAAATGGTTTTGTATTCTTAATGAGTTTATTCACATAGGTCCAAACCATACGACAAGGTTATCTTTCAAAACGTTCCTCAAACCTGAGAGGTGATTGGAAGAGAAGGTTTTTTGTTCTTGACAGTCGAGGGATGCTGTACTACTATCGTAAACCGTTTGTCTGGTCTTCTGTAAGTCACTAAACGGGGATCACTGGGCTGTAAATTTTTCCTCTCTTTTCTCCGTAGTACATACTAAATGTTACTTTTTCAGGCAGGTAGAAGTCAGTGTACAGTACAAAGGACTAGTTATGAAAATGGTCCTGGGCTGCTGAGTCGATGGCTTTCTAACCATTACCATAGTGCTATACATGATGAAAAATCTGTTACACGTCACACAGTAAACTTGTTGACATCAACAATCAAAGTTGACGCAGATCAGTCAGATTTAATGTTCTGTTTCAGAATTATCTCACCAACCAAAATCTATACATTGCAGGTATTTGTTTAATATTTCAATTTCACTTCTCACTCGAGACTTCTTTTTTTGGGTAATGTTTTGTGTTTATAAGTTTGGGAAAGAACAGACTATTGAAAGGACTAGGTTGGCAATGCAGGCAGAAAATGCACTAGACCAGAGGGATTGGATTGAAAAAATAACTGGGGTGATTACATCATTATTGAGTTCCCAAACACCTGAAAAGGTAAATTGATTAAATTTTCTTTTTAAGAAAATGGGGGGGGGAAGCTTTGAACTGTGCTTTCTTAAACACAAAATGAGTTTTCTTCATGATCTTTTTTTCCATGGAATTGACCATACAACGTTTAATTTAGAGTGATAGTTCACAAGTGGAGTCCCCTGATGCTTATCACACAGCAACTGGACAACATATACCTAAGGTTCCCTCCACTGGAAGTCTCCTAGATATGCCTAAAAGTTCGCAGCATCAAGAATATTCTGCAAAAAGTGAAAAGCCAATTGATTTATTAAGAAAAGTTGCCGAGAATGATAAATGTGTCGATTGTGGTGCACCTGAGACAGACTGGGCATCGTTAAACCTTGGTCTACTCATATGCATTGAATGTTCTGGAGTTCACCGCAATCTTGGCGTACATGTATCCAAGGTATGTCATAGAAATTCTATAATATTTTCTTAACAGAAATCTTTCATTTCTGTTATAATTTTGTTTTCTTCGATCACCTATTCATGAATCTTTTGTATAACCTCTTACTCAGGTAAGATCTCTGACACTTGATGTTAAAGTGTGGGAACCGTCTGTCTTGGCTTTGTTACAATCACTGGGAAATATCTATGTGAACTCAATCTGGGAGGAGTTGCTGCAGTCAGGACATACAAGAACTGTCATACCTATGGGGTAAGTAAACTATTCGATTCCATGGGGGTACTCATTCTATAATGATATCGTTTTCCTTGTAGTTCTTCGAAGCCTGAAGGACAAAAGCAGCTTCTCAAACCGAAACCTACTCGGGATGACCCAATTTCAGTGAATGAGTTGTTCATTAATGCAAAGGCAATTTCCTATTGTTTCCTTCTTTTTGAAATAAGACTGCATCGATGTTGTCTGCAAAAGTAGTAATCTTTTAGGTTGCGATTATTTCAGTATGCAGAGAAAGCTTTTGTTTCTAAGATAACGGATAATCTGAGCCCCCTTTCGGTAGCTGAAGAGGTGTGGGAAAGTGTTCTTTCTAATAACTCAAAGGCTCTATACCGCCACATTGTTTGCTATGGAGCAGATGTCAATACAATTTCTGGGCATGCATCATATTGTACATCCTCTCCCCCTGCCCCTTACTCCAAGATTAATGTACTGGGAAAAAGTAAAGAAACCTTTTAAATCACCATTTTGATTGCGTTGCAGTTTACTCTCTGCATCAGTCCTCGAGATCCTTGAGCTCGACAAATGAAAGTAAAGAGGAGCATTCCGACGGTTGTTCGTTGCTTCATCTCGCCTGCTTAAACACGAATATTAGCATGGTGGAGCTACTGCTTCAGTACGGCGCAAATGTAAATGCATCCGATTCAAGAGGCCGAGCGCCGCTCCATCTTTGTATCATTGGCAGGAATTTTGCAATAGCAAAGTTTCTTATTGCAAGGTGATTTTTCTTTTTCTTATCCTACTTTTTATCATGCATACACGTACATTTGTTCACACTAGTTATTAGGGCTGTTCATGGATGGTTAACTGATCGTTTTAAAAATAACACATACATTTGTTCACAATGGTTATTAGGGCTGTTCATAGACGGTTAACTTATTATAATTATTTTTCAAAAATAACACAACATGAACGTTTTAAAGTTTCATAATTCATACCATAGTTGTAAAAAGCGCGCCTGAGGCACAAAAGCGTAGAGGCTCACTGAACGGGGCTTTTTCAACACTGAAGCGAGGCACGTAGCCTAGGCGTACCTAAGCTCAGCGAGGCGTAGCAAGGCTCTGAGGCGCGAGGCTCAGTCGAGGCGTGATGTGGGCTTAAAACCTTGTGTTCCTTCATCGAAATCCCCACCGGGGTTTGCAAATCGGGCCTCGACTCGAAGAACTCGATGATTTTCTCTTGTGTTTCCTTATTTTTCCCTCTCATGTAGCTCTTCAGGGAGGCTTTGTCGACCTCGAGTTTATTGGTCGACTTGGCGTACGTTAGCATGTTGAGTTGGGGTGAAGGTTGGAGCGGTGGAAGTGGGGTCAGGTGAAGGGACAGCCACTGGATACGGCGGTTCACGGCAGCGATGGATGGGTGTTGTTCGTCCTCCGCTGTCTTATTTGGGTTCATTTTCTACAAAGAACAAAAAGGTCGGTGAGGGGGATTTTGAACGGTGGTTTGTCTTCGTACGAATAAGAAAGTGAAGAAAAGGAGGAAGTGACTAGTGAGTAATTTTAAACACAAAAGCTATAGTAACATGTCGTATTTTGATTGGCGGGAAGACAAATCTTTAGTTGTCGCAGGTACTTGTGGGGAATGGATAAAGTCATGACGTGGAACATTTTGTGACCGGTTGATGTGGATATTTGTTTATATTAATTTAATCGTAATTAAAATTTACGTCTAACAACATTTCTATATTTTACCTTTTCTAAATAATGATTAATATAAAATTAAATGTCTAAATCATATTTAAAATTAATTTTTGATGTTTAAATTTTTTTATTAAAAATAAGTGTATAATGTTTCTTCCGTTACACTTTTAGGTTTCTACTGTTAATAAAAACGTGAGTGACATGTGTCACGTTTGATGTTTGATGATGATTATCAGTGACTTTATTTGATGTTTTGTTTATGCATGTTGGATGCTTTTGTTAAACTTAGTACTTGATTATGCTTGTTGATAGTTTTTATGACGTTAGGTTGGTATTTAAGTTTGAAAATAAACTCTATTGAAGCCTAATATTGGTATCTATGATATTTGAGTTTGATTATATTAATATATACATTTATTACAATTTTTTGGATATCATGCGCCTCGCCTTTGTGAATCTCGCGCCTTTTATTCACTTCGCGCCTCAAGGCTTTAGGAAACTTTGCACCTCGATGCGCCTTGAGCCTTTGATAACTTTGATTCATACTACAAAAAATGTAACACTTAACACATACCTATACTGGTGTCATTATGTACATCTCTCAATATAATTATAAATTTAATTTATTAATGGTTAACCGTTTATCAAAATTTGTAACCGTAACATTAACTTTTAACCATCATTTTTTAGCAGTTCGATTAACCTAAACCATTTAGCATCAACGGTTAAGTTAATTAACCTGTTAAATATATTGGTTATACTGATTAATGAATACGGGGTTTTTTGAACAACCTTACTTGTTATCTTTCTCGGTACTATGAATGAAACAGAGTGGTCCTAAAATTGCAGGGGAGCAGACCCACATGCTGTAGATGGAGAAGGTAAAATTCCTCTTCAGCTTGCATTGGACTCAGGTATCAATGAAAATGAGGCTTTGGCACTCTTAACAGATTGATAGTATAGTATAGTGTTCAGAATCCCAAAAGAGAACACCAATATTTTGGCCTTCCACTCTGAAAAATCAGGCTTATTCGTATACAAAGTTTGGCTTGCCAAGGTTTCTTCAAGTGTGTAGCTCTTCCTGCCATCTTAGTAGTTCTGCTCTGTCATATTATACGACTTGTATAAAAAATAAGTAGATAAAGTTTATCATCTTTTTCATTTGAGTACTTAAAAGTATCTCTTATCAAAATAAATATTTTAACTTATCTTTTTTTTATCAAAATAAGTACTTAAAGTATTTAATTTTTTTCATCTAAGTACCTAAAGATATTTAATTAATGTTTTTAGAACTTAGATAAAAAAATCAAATACTTTGGGTATTTATTTTGATCAAAAATACTTTAGGTATATATTTTGACCAAAAAGATAAGTTTAAATCCTTATTTTGACCAAAAATATTTTAAATACTTAGATAAAAAGAAGTATACTTTATATACTTATTTGTAATATATGCCTATATGTATTGTAGTATGTAAATTTTACTCGAGGATTGGGTAGCTTAAGCTAAATTGCAAGACAGAATGTGACATTAAAACACATGCTCGTGCACTTTTGAGCTAGTTATACGTGGAAATGTTTTTTTTTTTCCTTTTTTTCTTTCTGAATTTGGAAAGAAAATGATAATGTAAGGAGAGAATTGAGAAGTTATGATATGTATTTATCTACTTAAATTGTTTTTTCTATTTAAATTATTTTGTTTCACAATAATACTTTGGTTTAAGGATTTACAATATTAATATATAAAAATAAAAAATTTAGTGAATGTTACTCTGTTGTACGATATACATTTTTTATATTTCTACGTAAAATAAAATAAAGGCAAAAAGGTACGTAAGACCCTTGTATTTTTTAAAGAAATTAATGTAGTCTTTGAATTATTTTTGTATTTAATGTGACTTTTTAAATCATAAAATAAACTCAATGTAGTCTTTTGACTAATATTTTTCGTTGTTGATGTGGCGATTCACGGTGTTGATATAGCGGTCTATGACGATTAATGACGTGACATATGACATGATGAACGAGTTAACTTGATTTTTTTGTCTTGTTTGAGGTTAAATTAATTTTTAAAAGTTTTAAGGGTTTATTGTTAAAAGTTATTTTAATTTTTAAATATAAAAATATCAAATATTCAAAAAAATAAAATAAAAAACATTGAAAATAAAATCTAAATTAAAAAAAATTAAATATATTAAAAATACTAAAAACACTATGAAAATTAATATATATATATATATATATATATATATATATATATATATATATATATATATATTAAGCTATAAATTGATAGCTTATAAATTATTAAAATTAAAAAATATTAAAAAAATGTATAGTATACATAATATATACATGTAATATATGGACATATCATCAACACTTATACAAAGTATTTGTAACACTCACAAACCGATGCGGGTGATCCGATCCGATCCGAGGTGTCACATTAGAGTCACCGGAACGACCCATCGTAATAATCTAGAAAAACTTAAAATTTCTGTTAAAACGCGTAATACCATAAACCAATTTATATATTAAAAGTAGAATTTAACAATATCCAAAAATAAAACTGATTTCAAATTCATATTCTGATATAAAAACAAAATACAACCTACATGCCCCCTAATCATATGCACCATACTCCGCAAGGAACGACGGTGGAACTCTTTTACTGATATCGATAACTGCACTGGTTTGATTCTTTTAACCTGAATAGTGAGTAAAAGAGTGAGCTTTAGTAAGCTCAGTAATACAGAACTACCAAGTGATGCTGAAGGACATATAGATAAATGGAAAAGCATAAATTTTCCTTGTTGATTCAAACGTCTACATATTTTTGTGAGGAGCTGAAGTTCCATTGATAATTCTTCAAGTGAAAGATAGTAAATTTTCAGTTCAGAGAAAAAATTCAGCGTACCAAGTTTTCAGGAGATCGAAATAGGATGTCTAGTGTGTTCCAACTAAAACCAGTGAATAGATACATATCTTTTTAAAGTAGTAACAATTTAAAACATATTTTTAAAACCATAATAGAATCCTCCAACCGAAAACCTTTATGCAGTTCCCCAGAACTACATCCATAAGGACTTCCCTAAGCACACAACAAATGAGCAACCCTAAGAGAATACCTTGGGGCCTATGGGCCTACCCAAGGGTCTCCTTAGGCCCGTAAGGATTTACTAGCTTGATCAGAGTTGAACCTTCATACTCTAGAATCCTACTCATGTAGTATCCAGTGGAAACCAGATTTAATAGTAAACAGTAATATCAACATTGTGATCCACTAAAATCTTGTAAGTGTGACAATGAAATAAACCATATAACTGCCCTCCACCTGTACACCATATACAATTCTTTGATTTACTCAAGGGAGTGCCTTGGGGCCTGAGAGCCTACCCAAGAAAGTTTCTTGAGGCCTCGGAGCCTACCCAAGGGTCACCTTAGGTCTGTAAGGATTTACCAGTTTGATCAGAGCTGGACCTCCATACTCCAGCCTACCTAGATAATATCCCAATAAAACAATTCAAGTAGTAACCAATATATTCTATGATCCATAAATCAGGAGTGATCATATTTTCCAGTGAAACAAGAAACCAGATAACACATTTCAAGTAACCATAGTTCATAAACTAGTAGATTCCATGATCCATAAATCAGGAACGATTATATTTTCCAGTGAAAACAAGAAATCAGAGAACACATGTCATTTGTCCATAGTTCATTAACAGTAAATTAAAACATCAGTGAATCCTTAATTTTGGAAAATCACGTTTTAAAACATGTAAAACAATTACATGTCACATTGGGAACATACTAGAGGATCCAATTATTCTTTGGAGGTACTTGGTATTTATCAGATAGATAACCATGAAACTTTTGTAAATTGATAGGATTTTAGAATCAATATCCCTATAAAAAGGGGTTTGATAATTGACAAATTCATCAATCATTCGGTTATTTTTCGGAGGTAATTGATCTTTACCAGGACGGATAAATGAATAACTTCTGTAGATTTGAAGGAATTCATATTCGAGGCCCCTATAAAAAAAGGTTCGTTCATTAGCATATCTAGTCAACATTTGAAAATTGATGTTTCAAGAATCATTTAAGAATTCGAGTGTATTAAAAAGGAACTCATGAACCTTTACATCAGAATTTTTGAAGATCTAGATATAACATGATCGTTTCCATTATTCAGGCAAATAGGGATAATTCAGACATTTTAATTTCTGATGGATTCTTAGTAGCTTAATCCAATAAGGGTGAAACAATTATTCATGGTATTTAAGATTCACGTCGATTTATCAATATATTGATTCATCTCGAACCTAACAAATCCCAACACTGTGATATATGTCAACCAGTCAAATCGATGTGCTTCAAGGATCTTCACACTTTAATATTGACAACTCTTGTAGAAATGATTATTTTCAAAATCATCGTTGAATGGATCTTAGGGACGAACATGTATTCCAAGGGTATTTATTTCATTTCTATATTACAATGGTATCACGAAATGTCGACATGATGGATTCGTGATTCAAAACCCTTATGGACGGTACAACATATAAGTTCATCATCATTTCCAAACTTATACAAGTCATTCACTTAATTCTATGTCATTAAGGGTACTTAGGTCATTTAGTAATCATGTTTATCCCGATTACTTCAGAGTTTCCAGAGTAATTCGGTCGTATCAACGATTTAGATACGTATAATACTTCCATTCAGTTCAACCTTGTCATATAATATAATCATTTTACACTTCAAGGGTATTTTGGTCATTTTACACATCAGGGTACATTTTGTATTTTCATAATCATGTAGTTTCGATATTAAATTTTTATGCAGAAACTACATGAACTATTTCACAATTATTCCTTTTTTATAAGCCTAAAACTTG